CTAGTAATAAATTATGAAAAAACTTATTTTCTTCAGTTTAGAACTAAAAACAGTAAGAACTTAAATGTTCAAGTTAGTTATTTAAACAATCAAATTCCAAGTATTTCTTATATATCGTTTCTGGGATTAAAAATTGAAATTTTTTTAACATGTGAAAGTCATATTGATGCAGTAATTGATAAGTTAAACAGATCCTGTTTTGCAATCCGATCAGTTAAATCCTTTTTACCACTGGAGACATTAAAAATTATGTATTTTTCCTATGTACATTCAATGATAACGTATGGATTAATATTCTGGGGTAACTCCCCGCATAGTATAAAAGTGTTTAGGATGCAGAAAAGGATAATTAGGATTATAACAAATACAACAAAGAGAACATCGTGTCGTAGTTTGTTTCAAGAATTGGATATCCTCCCACTACAAGCTCAATATATATTGTCGATTTCCCTGTTTGTTATAGTAAATAAGGAATTATTCACATTCAACTCACAAATGCATAATTGTAGTACCAGATCTATCTGTGATCTGCATTATCCGCAAACTAGTCTAACACAATTCCAAAAAGGAATATGTTACATGGGGGTAAAGATCTTTAATCATTTGCCACCAAAAATCCTATCTATGTCTGATGACTTAAAAAATTTTAAAATTCAGTTGACAACATTTTTATTGCAAAACTCTTTTTATACATGTGATGAATTCTTTAGTAACAAATTTGCCTAGAAATAAGGATAATAACATTAACAATTTTACTATTGCATAATTTTATGTATAGTGATGTAAGACTGTAAATTTAACACATGTTTTTTTATCTATTATAATGATTAGGGCCCAGATTTCTATGATATGTCATATTTTCTTCCTAGGGTTTATTCCTATTTTTAAATGTAATTATGCATGTTTCCAGTCATTCTTATTGAAATTATGTCATTTTTATTGTGCATATAAATGCATATTTTAGAGTTTTATTGGTTTTACAGCATATTTTGGCATAATTTTGAAATAAGGTCATATTTTTGTCATTTTAGAAACAATTCTTTGATATAATGTAAAATTTCGGCTCCATAATGTTTAGTATTACAAAATAAATTTCAGGCTGGACTGTTGCTTCAATGTGGAATAGAGTTCAAGTACATGAAGTTCGTATTAAAAACCATATTTTTGACTGGACTGTACTTGCAGTTACAAAGGCGAAAATTTGTGAAATGCAGCATTTATGACCTGGCAAGCCGGCCTTTCCCAGTCGAGGCAGGAGGGAGGCAAGTGTAACGGGTATTCTCCTATTGTACTCCATCTTACTATAAGGTATACGAGGGGGTACCCAAAAGAAAGGGAACTTATTTTTTTTTAAACTTATTTATTCAAATTTTAAGCACAAACCTTCAATCCCCTTCAAAGTACGCTCCACTTACACTAATACACTTGTCTAGTCTTTTATTCCATTTTTCAAAACATTGTCTAAATTCGTCTTTTGAGATGCTTGTAGAAGTATTCTATTTATATATGTGGAGGGCGTTATAAGACTTCAGTTTGACTTTACAACGCCTAAAGTGAGTACATGTAGTTCAAGGAGCGCAAAGTTGCATAGTTTTGTACAGGAGTTTGGTGAAAAAGTGTTTAGTACCGATGGCAAGATAGTGACATGTTGGCAACGGAGGACCCCCACCTCCCCACCGGCACGTGGCGGTAACGTAGCGCTCCCTCCCCACCCTCCGCGGTGACGTAACGCGCAACGCGCGGTGATGTAAGACGGCGCGAGGTAACAGCGTTGCTAGGCTATACGCAAACATGGTGACACGGCACCGCTTCCTACTGTGACATGGCGGGCGACCCTAGCAACAGCGAACGGAATAAAAGCCGGCTGAGCAGCAAGCGAGAGTCAGTGTGTTATCAACAGTTCTCAAGGCAGCAGCCTGCGAGCAGAGTTGGAATCTAGCCAGCAGCGAGTTACGAGTGAAGGTGTGTGATAATCAGTGACAGTTTGTGATAACTGAGAATTAATTGGGAGTGTGATACAGTGGGACTTATATAGCTCCCGTACTGTGAAAACGTGCAGTCTACTGAAGACAGTAGCGTGATTTGATTTGCGAATAGGGTTATAAATTGTGAAACACCGCAACTGTGTGATAAGTAATTGTAGCCGTGATTTGTAGGTTGTTAAATAAACCAGTTAACAATCCGAACGGCGTCTTCAGTAACCCAACACGTTACAATATTTTATTGTAAGTTGTGTGGCATGAAAGTTACGGCAGAAAAGCGATTTACTGTGCAGCAGCATTGTAAAACTTTTAAACATGGTAAATGTTTAAGCAGATTATCTACAAAGGATAGCAGACAAAGTTTGTTGTTTAAAAACAGTTCCACCAATTCTTCTTCTTCTTCTTCTTCTTTTCCTTCACCTTCTTCAACGAACAATGGGTCAGAATTTTCGAAGGATTTGTGTTAGTGGATAGTATCTTCGAATATTCCATTAGAGAAATTGCATAATCAGCACTTCAGACAATTTTTGGAGACACACTAGTCATCCTATCCCAAGTGAATCGACGTTAAGAAAGAATTATCTCTCTACATGTTATGAAGATATGTTAAATAAGATTCGAACATCTGTTGCTGACAACAAGATATGGGTTTCCTTGGACGAGACTTCTGACGTAGATGGGCGGTATATTGCGAATGTTATAGCTGGGACCCTGAAACAAGATCAACCTGGAGAGAGAATTCTTCTTGACTGTGAAGTTCTTGAAAGAACAAATCATTCGACTATAGCTGTCCTATTTGATAATTCCATGAACTTGTTGTGGCCAAATGGAATACAGCGAAATAATGTCCTCCTAGTAACAGATGCCGCTCCATACATGAAGAAGGATGCCAAAGGACTTCGAATCCTCTACCCGAAAATGGTCCATATTACTTGCCTCGCTCATGCATTGCATAGAGTGGCTGAAGAAGTTCGAGGACATTTTCCTGATGTAGATAGGCTAGTTTCAAACGGAAAGAAAATATTCATCAAGGCCCCTCTTCGAGTGCAGAAATTTAAACAAGAAGCTCCTCTACTGCCACTTCCTCCACAGCCTGTCGTCACACGGTGGGGTACATGGTTGGATGCTGTGGCATATTATTGTGAAAATTACACAGCCATTGAGAAAATGTTTAATGGCTTTGACAGCAGTGAGTCAACATCAATTAAAGCTGTCAAGGACTTATTCTCTACCACTCTAGCACAAAATCTGGCATACATAAAGTCAAACTTCTGTTCAATTTCAGGTGCAATAACTCGCCTGGAATTTGTAGGGACTGAACTCTGTGACGCGTTGGACACTGTACAGAGCATTGAGAATGAACTAAACCTAACTCGTGGTGAAATACGTGACAGGATTAAAACCAAAATAGAAAATGTTCTTCATCGGAATGCTGATTATTCAACATTATGCAAGATTGCAGATATACTTTCCGGTAAACTAGCAACATTCGAAGATGATACAGAACTGTCACCAAACGACTTGACATTCTTCAAATATGCTCCTGTCACATCATGTGATGTGGAACGAAGTTTTTCCAAATACAAAACTATCCTTAGTGATAATCGGCGATCTTTCAAATTTGAAAATTTGAAAATGCATGTAGTTATAAATTGCAATTGTAACAGTGAAAATTGAGACGTGAATAACTCAGTGAAAATTGAGACGTGAATAGCTTGTGTTCTTTTAAATGGTGTTTTTAGATAACAGAGTTAAGTTAGTGTTCATACCATGTGCACCAGTGTTTGTCTAAAATATGAACGCAAATATCAGTATTAAAAAGAAAACAATGAATGGTTTAATCCAGTACGAAATGTCGAAATTCCATCAGTTTTCTTTCCTTCAGAGACATCATGGGGCTAATTTGGTAAGTAGGACCTACTATCATATATTCATCATCTTTGTTCTTAAACTCTAGTAAAAGTTGTAATTAAAATTGTGAAATTTTATGTCCTATTTAATATTTAAGGTCACATTTTACACTTTTTAGGTCATATTTGATATAATTTTGGGTCATAAGTGCATGCATATATTTATAGTTTTTAGGTCATAAAAATCCGGGCCCTAATAATGATTATAAGCTGTACACATAATTTATAATTGTATTGTACTATATTAACTATGTGACTGGTTCTATATCTATGTATATGGATTTATGGAATATACAATAAATAAATGAATGAATGAATCACGGTACTCTTAGAACTCCACATTCAACAGCCAATCTTTTGGATAAACTGAGTTGCAGAACATATCACAAAACAAATATCGTTTAGATGACAGTTCACGATAACCTCAAAAATTGTAGGCTTGAAAGAACTCTATGTTTCTAATTTAATTTGTGGTAGTAAGCATAATATTTATATCCACAAATAATATGTTTAATATGGAGCTGCAATTTCGTTTGCAAATGTCTACTTTCGTTTCGCAACCACATCAAATCAAAATTCATACCTACCAATTTCCCTATATTGATCACCATAACCGCATATAATTGCGGGAATTCAAATTGGTTTGTTTAGGCTCTCTGATTGGTCGAGACCTGCGTGCAGTATCTGCCTTCGCTCTTAGAGGCAGTAGTTACCGTGTTTCCCTTTCCCCTATCCAAGTTTTAACCCCCTGCTCAGGGGTCAGGAATGTTACAAGATAAAAGGAATGTCGTCAATGATTGAAGCAATAATGGCTCCCTCATCTGCTTTTCGAAGTTAATATTATGATATTCCCAAATCATATGAATGTTGATGCAATTATGCATGACTAGTATCATTAAAATGTGTCATAAGAAACAATGCGATGTTACTTTAATTCCGGAATTATTGATGCAGAACGCAGCCGACACAAAAATTGAAACTGCAATTCCAAAATTAGAACATATAAATAAAGTAAATGACACTGGCATGAAACTCTACAGTAGAGTTCAAAGGTCACACTGTGACCTTGAGTTCATTCTATTTTATTAATATTAGAGTGAGACTCTAATGTACTTCTACATGTTTGTTTGTTCATTCTACACATTCTTATAATTAAAGAATAAAATTTAGAGATATGACAATATCGTGGTGTGACTTCATAGCAGGATCTGTTGCTGGTATGGATTTATTCATGAAATATTCTTACATTTTTTAAAATGGTTTTAGTATTTGTATTTTAGAAACAAATGTTCCACTTATGTAGGATCAAGCAGAAAATCATAGAGAATGAATGTTTATAAAAACTGTATGCAGTTTTGTCTTCGCACCAAAAGAAACTGAATAGTTAAAATCTGACAGAGTAAAAATTTAAAAATTCATTACTTGAGAAACAGATCACTTATTGAAATTGCTGAATGTGTAAGATATTCTACACGCACTATGTGTTTACCTCTATTAGGAAATGATCACTGAGCCCCTTTACTGAACCCAATTACAGGTGGCGCAAAAATTAAAAACATTCTTTCTTAGGCTAAGCATGAAGTAACTATAATAAAAATAATTATAATAACCATAATAAATTGGCCGAGTGGCACTGAGAAAAATTCCAATAGACTAAAAATTATAATAAATAATGTACTTATATGTGATTAATTCAGTACCTGAAACATTCTTGGGGGTGTGGTGCTGTCAGTAAAAAGTGCTTATTCCATCAAACAATCCTCGATGACAGTCTTATTAAAACAAGTCATTAGATTAATATTTATACCTACATATCGCTTTCCTTCTGACACTACACAATCTAAGTCAGTGATGCTGTTGTCCAGTTCCTTTATTGTCATGGTTTAATCAGTGGTAAATGAAAGGGAATTGCTCTCTTCAGCAATACTCTCCCTTTAGTTTGTGTATCTTCATAGTATCACTTTCACTTTATATGCACACACACAAAAAACCTAACATGTCCACACAGCACAGAACAGTCTGAAATAATACTATATAAATTTTGTTAGTGACATGGAATATTTTACTCAACATTTATGGTGAGAAAAAAGTTGAAGTACACCTTACCATGTTCACCAAACAACACATAAGAAAAATAGTTAAGAAAATTACAGAGTATGGTAGCTTCAATTTGCACTACTGCATTGTCGTTTTCCACCACAAATAACTTACAACTAACTAACTTCATTGAACTGACCCCTTCTTGAGAAGATGCCAATTGTGCAGCTACTCAAGAACTACCGAACAATTTATAGAAACCAAACAATCATCACAATATATACAAGAGTCCTCCGCTGGTCCCTATCCTGAGCCATATCAATCAGGTCTATACCGCCATCCTATCTCTTTAACATCTACTTTAATATTATCCAATCACCTACACTTGATTTTTCCTAGTGGTCTCTTTCCTTCTGGTTTTCCCACCAATGTCCTATATGCATTCTTTTTCGTATCCATTCGTTCTACATGACCTATCCATCTCATCCTCCTTGACTTGAACATTCTAATTATACTTGCCAAAGATTACTAGTTATGAAGCTCCTCATTATGCAGTATCCTCATACCTTCATCACTTCATACCATCACTTCATCTCTCTTCGATCCAAATATTTTCCTCAGCGCCCTGTTCTCAAATACCCTCAGTCTATGTTGCTCCCTTAATGTCGAAGACCAAGTCTCACACTCAAACAGGACCACAGGCAAAATTATAGTTCTGTGTATCTAATTTCCTTTGTGACATTTCGTAACAAGCATGTGCCATGCCATGGTGTCAAGGGACCTACTTAACAAGGATGATAATTTATAGGAAAATTAATTTGCAGAACCTACAAATGAGGCTCCATCACTGTAACTTTATTTTTAATAAACATTAATTATGGAATTGAATAATGCTCCTTGGTTCTTGAAACACTTGGTAGTCCTGCTTGGAACATACATAACTTTTCTATGTTCAAATGCTCCTATAGTCATTGTCCTTCATACACATACAAGTGTGCTTCAACACAGTGTATCTATCAACAGATATGTTTAGAAATATACATATGAATTTCTGTAACCCTAAATGATTTAGCTGATTTCTTAGTTGTTTCTTTCCTGTCCATGTGTTGGCTTTGTTGTTGTAATTTTGTTATTTGAATAACATTAATTGCAACATGTTGGTCAGGATGCAAAAAATAAACAGTTGAGACATAAACATAATATTCTTTTGTTGTGCCATTTTTGGGGTTAGTGGTCTGTTTTAATCCCATGAGTTTCTTAAATGTTATAATTCAAGGTTCTTCAATCATATATGTGCCTAAAGGGCACTATCTAAAGAGGAAGGATAAAACCTCCTGTAAAAGGGAGTCAGACTCTTTGACCCTTTGCTATGCCTGTGGGTCATGTTTCTTATTAATTCACAATGGATTAACCACGGTGTTACAAGTCTAAAGTAGATTTTTGTACTTACAGGTGTGTGTGGCTTATTAATTGGACATCCTGCAGATACAATAAAGGTTCGACAACAGACATTTCAGTCATCAGGTTGCATACATATTGCCATTCAAACAATAAAATATGAAGGTGTAAGTTTGGAAGTGATAGGTATTTAAAATAATAAGTCATCACAAATTTCCATCAGTCATATACTTAATGAGTCAATCATTCAAGGACTTAGGTATTACCTAGGAGTAAAAGATTTTAGTGCTGCCAGAGACAGGAAAGTTACCCCTATCCTTGAGCTCCACACAATGAAGACACATGGGAGAGGTACATGATAGCTACACACAACTGCATGCATACACTGACTGCATTAGTATTCAAGAAAGAGCCCATGACATTTATTGGAATGGGGGCTGGATAGGCCTCAGAACTGATCTGGATGTAAAAAGAAAAAACCTCTTACCCTGCCAATAATTGAACCCTGATAGACCAGTCCACAATCAGTCATTATAATGACTGAGCTACTTCCAATTCATTAAATCTTTCCCACTTGATCTGGTCTCATAGTGATATAATTAAAAAAGGCATTATTTTCAAGCAATCTGACACATGCTCAAGGAATTTACATGAATGTGAATTTCTGCTATATAAGAAGTGAACAAGACACCCTGGTGATTTAGTTATAAACACACCATCAGGAAATTTGGATCAAAAACTGAAAGTATAAAAATGATGTCTGCATCAAATACAGTCACTGTTCAAGCCAGAATGGCATTCTCATTTGTACAATTCCTATGAAAGTGGTGATTTAAGATAATCATTTCTTTCCACAAGTGATATGAAATGAAGCTGAATACAGCATCAGTACTGGGTATGTCTTATCTCAGTTGTGAAAGTGCAGCTAGATAAGTAACAAACCACTATTACCAACTTCAGACACTAAAATGCCTTTCATTTGCTGCATGTGACCAAAGGCAAATTTAAATGTGAGTGATAAATATTAATTTTCCCAGGATGTATGTCAAAGAATGAGCTTCTACAAAACAGATCCACGTTAGCAACTCTGCAAGCATCCACTGTACTGTGCCAAGAAGACACAATAGTCTATTTTATGCTCCAATTTTGCCTTTTGAAACTTGGATTATGAAATTTCAAATTATTGTAGCACAGAACTGTGTTAAAATGTTCCGTGTGTTTATGCCTACTTCCCATGAAAACCAATCCTGACAATTTTTGAAAGTAAACAAGAATCTACCATTTTTAAGATCATTATTACTTTCTGGGCCTACTGGTCAGAGAGTTTGATGAATTAAGCACATTTTGTTCATCCATGGGAATATAAGGTGTGTCTATATCAAGACTATGAGAGAATTTTGTAAAAAATTGGAACTTAAGAGAACAATACATAAAACTTCTGATGTTTCATATTGTACATTTCTACCCACTGCTAAGTAATTACTTTGTAAACAGTGCTGCTGCTAGGTGACAAACACCTGACAAGCAACATCTGAACTACAACCATGAGGAGCGATGTTTTCTATGCAGTCCATGCTGAGGGGTTATAAGTGGGACAATTTAGAGTCAATCAGTTTATATGTAACAGACTGCAAAGAGGGTTATGTTCTCAGAAAGCTACAGGAAGGTCTCCATGCTATTGAGTTGTTGTGTGAGCTCTGGAACATATAAATCAATGAAGATGAAACTCAGGCAATCTACTTTTGTCATAGACTTGTCATAGGCTCTTTTACATTGAATGGACAGAATATCTTCTTTGTTAATCATGTAAAATATATGGGTGTAATCTTTGATAAGAGGATTACGTGGAGCCTTCACATAGAAATGACTGAAGCCAAGGACTTCAGAACATTTATTAGAATCTACTCCTTATTCAGAAGTGAGTGTTTAAGCATAAACATTAAACTAACACTCTATAACTTACTGATCAGATCAGTAATGACTTATACTTGTCCCGCCTGGGAACTAGTGGCGGACACCTACCTCTTACAATTGTAGTGCATGCAAAACAAGATTTTGCACACCACTGGAAATTTTTCAAGATGCACACCAGTCCTTGACTTGCTCACAGCTTTCAACTTTTCATATATGTATGATTATATAACAAAACTGTGCAGGTGACAAGCAAATGTCATACAAAACCATGAGGATGAGCATGTTCGTGGTATAGGACAAAGTGAAGCCAGACATAGAAAATGTAAGACACTTAAACTTAGTGGTGGTCAAACTTATGACCATTCAAATGACTAAGCTGCTGTTGTAGCATAAGATATGTATTTAGGCATGATCTGCTCTGTAATGCCTGCACTGACAGAGGACTTGTGTTTAGAGCAAAAGGAAGAATTTTCAATAACATGTATATGTGTGAAATACACACTTGACGAAAAGCCAAGCATATTCATAAGAGACAACCCCGTCTTCTCTTCAGGGAGGATGTTATGGAAGGACTATTACCGCAAGGGTTCAGTTGGAAAAATATCTCTGGTCATGGGCCTCAAGGGGCCTGGTGCCAAGACGAACTGATCGGCAGTAAACCGCCAGTCATAAAGTAACTGTGACTTTGACTTAGTTATGGGATATTCACCAGAGAGTAAGGGCTTTAGCAGAGGGTACTGATTGGATGTGTTACCAGGAAACAACTATTGAAAGCAGGCTGAGAAGACTTAGCGTGTGCCCCAGTGATTTGTGAAGTGTGTAGGTTAGTGATGGCACTGTAACTGCTTGCAGTTCCAATATGTAAGTGGTCAATAAATCCAAGCACCAATCCAATCCTCAACTATAAGCACTCACACATGTGACAATATGATACACAGCAAGAAAAATTTCCTTTATACACGTACATATGAAGCGAAATATCTAATGACAGGGATAACCTAAATAGTCTGTAAACAGCTGGTACAAGAGTCATAATTCAGGAAAATATAGCTGTAAAATAATATAAAGGACAGTTGAAATTAATTTAAAAATCAGTTTGCAGAAATGAAATTCTGAAGGAAAAGCTTGCATTACTGTGAACAATTATACGAGGGTAAGTCAGAAATTATCCACACTTTCTCCATAACACATCTTTAGGTTTGTCACTCTGCCTCCTATGCATGCATTGTTAGAGTTGGTACTACTGTGGTCACGTGATAGAAGTTTTACCTTGATCGCATCATTTTCCTTGATGCTGTGACAGTGTAAACATGGCCGATCTGCTAGCAGTGTGAACCAATGATTAACGAAGAATAGTGATCCGATTTCTCTGGTTGGAAGGAGTGTCAGGGGTTGAAATTCATATGTGGGTTCATCACTATGAGCAAGACTCAATCTTTCGTGGGAAAGGTGATGCTAACCGTTTTTTGGGGCTCAAAAAGGCCTATACTGGAAGACTACCTGGAAAAAGGGTGTACGATCAACAGTGCAAGATACAGTGATTTGCTGGCCAACAATCTGAAGCCAGCAATTCGCACCAAACACCGAGGCCTATTGTTGAAGAAAGTGTTGTTGCATGACAATGAACACTCACACAAGGACGGCCAGACCGTTGAAACCATTAACCATTTGTTTCGATGTGGTGGAACACCCTGCCTACAGCCCAGATCTCGCCCTTTCCCACTATCATTACTTTGAACCGCTCAAAGATGTTTTACGAGGTTTTTGATTTTCTACGGACAAAGAAGTTGGGGAAGCGGTGCATAAATGGTTGCGCGACCAACCAAAAACCTTCGTGGAGGGAATACGGAAGCTTTTGGACCGCTGGACCAAGTGCATCGAAAAGGGAGGAGACTGTGTAGAAAAATGAAGTACTTCTTTAACCCCTACTTTTGTATATATGGATTGTAAAAACAAGAGTGTGGATAATTTTTGACTTCCCTAGGTATTATATAGGTCATAAACACAGAAAGACTGAAGAATGCCGTCTTCTGGGATGTGTCACTGTGTAGATATTGTTAACCGACGTTTCGGAGGAACGTATCGCCTCCATCTTCAGGGTATAAGAAATCCGCTAGCAGATTTCACAATGAAAATAAGAGATGAATAAATTAAAAAGATTCCTGCTATTATACAATTAAAAAATCAAGATCATCTTCTCTACTTCCTGAAACACCAATAGCAATTTATGACTTGCTGTAACATTGGGTTTCTTATTCTGTTCAAATTACTTATACTATGAACGCCTGGAAACAGAACTCAGGAAAATATCTGCTCCTGAGGGAGAAAAACCAAGTGAAAAATAGAGTAGTATTGGAAAGAATGGAACTTTGAACTTTAAACAGTTCGATTAGTATTATGCAAGTAATCAAACGTAGGAGGAATTAATGAACTGGACATGAATTTTGTATGGGAAAAATATAAAATCATTACAGAATTTTAGGTAAACTTCTAATAAATGACCATTGGAAGACCAAGAGGCTGAGAGAATATTACTGAGATGGATCTGAGGGAAATACATTTTAAAACTGAAATAAACTAATGGAAGATAGATTGAATTTGGTACTGGCAAACTCGAACCTTCAAGTTATATGTCAGCAAGGGTAACTAATTGTTCTTTTACTAATATATTACACTCCTGAACTCATATAAATTATAAATTCTACATATGTTTATACAGACCACAATCTTGGCCATACTTCTGGTTAAGTGCTAATTACAACAACAAATGGACAGACGTAATTTTCATAGAGGTGTGGGTCTTTTTCAGTTGCATGGATTTTATAAGGGTATGGGGTTTCCACTGCTCACAGCTGGGATAATGAATTCAGTATTCTTTGGTGTGTATGGAAATTGCCTAAGAGCTCTTGAAAATTTTCATAAACGGCAAGAGCCAGAGAACAATGGTGTCAGCAAGTACTGGTACATGAATATATTCTTTGCTGGTGTATGTGCTGGCACAGCCCAGGTAGCTGTTGCTTCTCCTGTCGAGCTTGTGAAGATCCAGCTACAGTCTCAAACAGGTAAGTTAGGATTTTCAGACAGTGTTAAATTTATATAATTAATGACTGTTAATTTCTTACTAACTAAATAATATATAACTAAAAGGTGCTGTAATACTGAAAACAAGTAGCATGTTACTCAGACAGGCAAAAGTGAGCAGAACCAATCACATAGGTTTGTTGAACTATAGGTAATTACACTGTACCTTGTTTTTCTGTTTATTTATAATGTGTTTGGTAGCTCAGACTACATGGATTCAAATGGAGAAGGATTAATGAATGGTGAACTGGAAAGGATAGGGAAGGTAACAGCTGCAGTCTATTCAAGGTATTTTCCAAGAATTTGCCTGGAGGAACTGAGAAAAACCAAGAAAAACACTCGGTCAGGATAGTTCCTCTCTTGCTCAAGATTTAACCTTTAATGTCTGAAGTGTCCTGATCAGGCCAGTGATGAGTAGGGTCGTTGTGGCCAAAGTACCCCATTTTGCCCAGTCGGGCATTTAAACTCTGCTAGTGGAAGCGCGCACACCCACCACTAGTAGAAGTGCATGCACAGTCCTAAACATTTATTTTTAAATGTAGTAATTACCAGAGAGACTTGAGTAAAACCATAATAGAGGAATTAAAATGATACCTAAGTGAACAACAGCAAAAAAGAATATACATATGTGTTATTCCCAAACTCATCCATGAGCCAGCAATTTTATTGCAGATTCTGCAGATTAACGTGTTAAAAATAAATAGTAAAATTCGATGTTCATACCCTTTTTGTTATTATCTGCTTGATGTATATATAGGTTGAAATGAAACTACAGTAATCGATTTCACTATGAACGCAAAGAAAACAGATCGCACTCTGTACCTCAGCCACACTGCAACTGTGTGTTCATGACTATAGAAAGGGCAATAATCTCTTGCAGCTATAACAGAAGGTCTTAGCACTGAAGAAGGGACTGTCGAATTGTTCCGTCTAGCTCTTTCTTGAATAGCCAAGCTTTCATTCTTCTGTTCTTTAGTCAAAAGATTCGAAAATCTGAAGAGTGTAAGAAAGTTGTAAGGTTTTCCAGCAGAGAACCAAATGATTTTATTGCTTCCATTTCTTTTATGACACCAGGGACTGCTAAAATGTGTCAAGTGTTACAAAGAGAAATGAATTACAATGCAGAACAACTCTGTGAAAAACTGGGAGACCATTTTTGCAGTACGCATCAAAATTAAAAGAAAAAATTGAAACTCTTTATATAAAAATTTTCAAATCTTCTGTTATAATATGTGACACTATGTTCTATTCTGATACAAATAAAGTTAATTCCATCCATTTATCAGAAAAATTGAGTTAGATACAGCATTTTTAAAAACAATCCTTAAAATTGTTTAAGCACTCTTAACAGGAACGGATATTTAGACGCAGAGCAGCATACATCTATGCTGCAAATGGGACTTCAGTCTGTGATTCTGGTGTTTGGAGGGTCTAAAGTAAATTCCTGATTTTCAGTAGCTAATATCAGTTTTCTTTTCCACAGTCAGCACAACACTATTTGTTAATGATAAAATTAAATTTAATTATACGGTAGCCTTATCATCAGGTTTTAAATATTAAACACAAGGATAAAAGTGGTTAACGTGCAGGTTCACATAATTTCTGCCTTTCCTGTTTTCTACCAAATTATTAAGATGAACATTTGATATGTCATTATTTTTAAAACTTATTTGAAAATGTCTTAAAAGAGACAGGATGGGGAGGTTTGGACTGGATTCATGTAGGACAGGGACTAGTGGAAGACTCTTGTGTGAACACAATACTGATCACTTGGGTTCCATAAAATTTTGTGAAATTCTTGAGCAGCAGAGCTACTGGGGGAATCTCAGGGACTCAGCACCATGCAGTTAAGAAGTTATTCTGAAATTGATCCACTTGTTACAATATTTGTAACTGAGCAATGTCAGCATTTGCCAATTCAGTATTCATTTTTACATTACTCTGTAAGCTTTCCAGCCCCTACACCACATCTTGTGCACAACAGTGTTTCTCTCTTAGATCTTACATACCATTCTTGTGATGCTTTATTATATGATATATGTGCATCTTATTCTTTTTTCAGCTGTTATCTCAGGTCTTATTTAACTTGTTCTTGCTTTCCTCTCCTTATATTAAGAGCATTCAAGCAAAATTCTTTTACCACTTTTATGTTGTTATGTTCACTAATTTTATATCCCTTTCATTCTTCAGACATCACCAAAAGGTAGCAAGTTGTTTATTGACTTGTAGTTGAATGTCTTAAGCAAGGCAGGGGAAAGCTTAAATGTAGCTCCAGGAGACAAGACTTACCCCCTCTTGCAATTAAAACCAGATCAACTCCATTACAGTCAATAACATGTAATTTCTTGTCACTAACAAAATATACATCACAATTCTTAAAAACAGATTTATTTACATGTTTAAATTATAGCCCTGATATTATGATCATGAAATTAACAAAAGAGCATAAATTCATTTTTGTTTAACATTCAAAGAAAGTCTGTAAAATATGCCACCCAAAACTGTGGCTTCATTCACCTGTGGTGGCATGCTGGCCCTGCCATCACAACAATCTAGTGTTGAATATTCTAATTTCTTGTAATGTTGTACTCTACAAGCTCTGGCAGGCTCACATGACACACTTAACTTTAAATAGGCAAACAGCTGTACAAATGTGGAATACTATCTTCTGGGCTACACCTCTTTGTAGTCTGAAAGTTAGGGAGTAATATTTCAGATGCACATATTGCTCCCATTTTCAGCGTGTCTTGAATAATTCAACAGAATATAAGAAAATGTGTTACAGACCAAAGGTATATAAATAAGCAATTTTATGCTTGTATTTAGTATTTCAGGAAAAGAGTTGTTTCTCTGAGTACTGAAACCTGCGGTCAAAATAATATACATATCATTTTATTATTAAAACAAAATATTGTTGTATATGAAAAGGAATTTATATTATTGCACAGACAACAGGATGTAACTGTGAAGATTTCTACCCTTCAATCACTGTTGTTTATGGCTGAAACTGAGAACTTAACCTATTTTCCATGAATCTAATACCTATAGGATTATCCCTTATTTCAGTGCCTTGCTCCTTTTTTCCAAGATTGTCTATTTGGATAAATAACTGTCCCATATATGAGTAACTACAACATAATAATTTTGGGGGAAACCAGCCATCCAATGTAACTGTCCTTGTTTATAAGAATTGTACAAGTCAGTTTTATGCACAAAACAAGGATATGGAGAATTTTTGGGAGAAAACCACTTGAAAAGCAGCCATTTACGAGGGGGTAGCCAAAAGAAACCGAACTTATTTTTTTTTTAACTTATTTATTCAAATTTTAAGCACAAACCTTCAATCCCCTTCAAAGTACTCTCCACTTACACTAATACACTTGTCTAGTCTTTTATTCCATTTTTCAAAACATTATCTAAATTCATCTTTTGAGATGCTTGACAGTGCCTCTGTCGTTTTTTTCTTCACCTCAGCAACATCAGCAAAACGCTTTCCTTTCATGTCTCTTTTCATTCGAGGAAACAAAAAAAAAAGTTGCACGGGGCAAGGTTGGGTGAGTATGGAGGGTGAGGAACAGGGGTCATACCATTTTTGGTCAAGAATTGTCGTACAGACAGGGCTGTGTGAGCAGGGGCATTGTCATGATGGAAAAACCAGTCACCCAACTGCCACAAATCTGGCCACTTCCGCCGCAAACTGTTGTGCAATCTTTTCAAAACTTCCAAGTAGAAAGCCTGGTTAACTGTCTGACCCTGTGGAACAAACTCTGAATGGACGACTCCTCTCACATCGAAAAAACAAATCAGCATTGTTTTCATGTTTGATTTCACCTGACGAGCTTTCTTGTGGCGAGGCAAACTTGAAGTCTTCCACTGGCTTGATTGTTGCTTTGATTCAGAATCGTAAGCATAGCACCAGGTTTCGTCACCGGTGATAATTTTTGAAAAAAAGTTTTCATCATTTTGGGACTCTTCTTTCAAAGCACAGCATGCTTCCACGCGACCTTGTTTTTGTTCAGCAGTCAGCAGTCGTGGCACGAATTTCGCAGCCACCCTTTTCATTCCCAAATCTTCTGTCAAAATTCGCTGAACTGAGCTCCAAGTCACTCCCGACAGCTCCACAATTTCTTCAATGGTCCATCGTCAATCTTCCTTGATGATTTCACGAATTTTTTCAACATTTTCATGTGTTCGGGCCGTGGAAGGACGACCAGAACGAGGTTTGTCATCAAATGACATTTCACCAGTTTTGAAACAGGAAAACCACTCAAACACTTGAGTTTTCCCCATAGCATCGTCCTTGTACGCCGTTTTTAACATTTCAAGAGTTTCTGTTCCACTTTTCCTGAACAAAAAGCAGAATTTGACCGCCGTATGCTGTTCACGAAAATCAGCCATTGCAAAAACGACGACCACACAAAACAGTTGTCACTATAAACTCTGCCGAAACTAGTCATTACTTTCTGAAGCAACGGTAGTCGACTTATCAACTCAGGAATGTTAGCTCTATGCGCTCATAGCGGCAAAACGTGGTACTACAAAAGCTCTGCCCACAAAAAAATTAGTTCAGTTCCTTTTGGGTACCCCATCCTATAAGACCAAGGAGATGGAATATCCTTAGGAAACGGACTATCATGATGTGAACCATATTCAATTAGGGTAGAAGTATATACAATGGCTTTTGAGTTAGTAGCATTGAATCTTCAGGTTATATTACCAGCAAAGTAGTTACTTAGTTTGACAGTTTCATACAATGGAGTATCCTGTACATTGAATTAAAAATTATAAAACACATGACTCATGGATAACTCAACTTTACTCTAAAATTTTAGAACATATAATGTCATCATGTGCTCAAGGAATTTATTGTAGATGAAAGAAAAAATCTCATGCATAGATCCCAAATTCTGCACAAGGAATGGAAAATCTGCCCTTACACAGCCTAGTTAATTCTGCTTGAAACATGCTTTTACAGTAGTTAACAAGCCTGTAAGTTAGGTTATGGTAAGTGAGAATTTGTTTTCCAGGAACATGGGAGAAGCAACATTCAAGGAAACATACAGGTCCCATTAATTGCATTTTACATATAGTAAATGAACATGGCCTGAGAGGATTGTATCATGGAAGCCAAATAACAATGTGTCGGTAAGTCATTACTCCATACACAAATATTTCTATCAAAACTATTGTTACATTTGTATGGGCTATGAAGGCATATATAGTCTGAGGTGAGTTATCAGTTTCTAGACAAATTTCAGAAAATATGACAGTGGAAATAAAAGTGCCAACATATGCTTAAAATCATTTTAATTCTGCATGTCCAGTAATGTCTCTGATTTGTGACTAATGTATAAATCAATTGATTTAGCAGTCTTTAAGGAAACCATTATATCTGCATATTACATTAACATTGGAGAAGTGTTAATATCTAATTTAATTGGTCCAATTAGGACAGTACAACTGTTTCATCTGGTGAAATGGAAATACATGTATCAAAATTTAAATGAAGTATTAAGTTTTAATTTGATTAATGTGATGCCAACCATGAACATAATGTAAAATTTAAGCTCACTTGTCCAACATATTATAATGGTATAGGGCCTATAAAGAGAACCTAAAGTAAAAAGTGTAAGAAGTAAAGCCATCTCTATACCAGGCAGTGAAGGCCCATAGGGTTGTGAGACGTTGAGGGTCCCACATTATCTAGACAATCGGCTCAGAGATGGCAGTAAAGTTGTCAGCCTTACACACCAGCCGCGCTTTACTCCCCAGGGAAATTATTTAAGTAATTCCTGGTTCTCATTTCTGTTAGAGGCTGAGTGAACCCAAGGGCCATAGTGTGGCTGGAAGGATAAGGTCGACTGAAAAAAATCAAATGACCTCATTGGGACTTGAAGCCGCGACCTTCCAGCTTGTAGCATAGCCCCTGAACCAACTACGCTACCGCGTGCCCCCCTACAAAGAGAACCTGGCTGAAATTTTTATATCATGTTTAGATGAATATTCTACATTCAAATGCATGTTCTGAGTCCAAATCTTGAGGAATATAAATGAGGATTCTACTTACTTTCCCACAATTCCATTTTATCTATAGTAATATTTTCATGCTTAGAAATCTCTGTTACATTCTGCTTTCCAAACTGTAAGCCAATCACAAAAGAATACTTCATTTATGCACTCATGTATATATAACAAACCACAATTAAATTTAATATTAACCTAGAATTCTCATAGGCCACATTCATGCTTGCCAAAGTCTGCATATTACCCAAGCTTTGTATGATCCTTATTCAGATGGAGGTGAAAGGGTATTAAAGTGGAGTTCACCATAGTGGCAAACTGTACTGAAAGTAACATGATTATTGTTTTCCATAAAAATCAAATGCATTAGTCTATATACATGCAGCGTTAAAGTACTCAATTTAACATTGTCTGAAGTGTCAACTTTGAGATAAATGAATGGAACTGTCCTGGAGATTTCCAAACATTCTGTTTCCTCACAATAATACATATAAGACATCAGAATTTGTATCTTACATGCTGCCCAACAACTGGTTGATTGCAGGGACTCTCTTTCATCAGGTCTGTATGTACTGACCTATGTTGTGTGCTTGGACATGTTCCATGGACCTCAACAAGTATGGACAGTTATCTTTGCAGGAGGAACAGCAGGTAGTGTATGTTTTTATTCTGATAAATGAAGTTGATAATTTGATTTGTTTCATTCTGGTCTGCCACACTAATATTATGAAAAAGTTAAATAGTTCCACCCAGTGTGACTGGTTATTCCAGTCACAGTGGACAGAACTATTTAACTTTTTCAGAAGTTGATAAATATAGTAAGGAATAATAATTGGGTGACCTCAAATATTAGATGGAGGCAACAGGTTCCTTCAAAATGCTGATAATATTGTCTTGTGTATGAGTGATTACAGACATGGGTAATTCGATTTATTGAACACTTATATATTGTAACTAGCCTCGGCACGGTCAGCACAAGAAACCCCTCTTCCAACAGCTCTATTGTTCCATCAATCGGCCATCGCTTGGACCGCGTAGAGAATACTATTTCTCTGTTGCTGTTTACGACCATTACCTAAAGCGGCCATTGCTTACAAAGTCATTACTTAACAAATAGGTCTACATGCTACACTGCTCCCTCCTTAAGGCTATTCGAAATGAACAGCCTATAGGCGTATGCCAATTCGTCTTTTCCGAGGGGTGTACTTGTGATATACGTTATCGGCCTCGCCTTTCTTCCCTTTGGCTCGGTTCTCTCGGTGATTACTCTCCAACTGCTCTCGCTGTTTCCTCCTTAAGTCCGCTCATCCCGAGCGGTCCCTGATAAGGTGTGAGCCAGTCCAGGTGTACCAACATCAGCCTCGATATAGGATTCTGCTGGATCCTTATTACTACACAATCTATCCAGGTGACTACATTGTATGGGTTCTCCCATCAGGATTGGAGCTTGGGCGATATTTCCTTTGTGCAGATTGGGCGATAGAGCCTCGTGGTTGCCCACACAGTTGGCAAATCTGCCACAACTAGTTTTAATCCGATCACTGGCCAGCTTCATGTGCTAGAGGGCATAACTGGGGATATGTTGATGGTCCACTAAATTTACCACATTTTCGAGTGTGTGTCGTTCCTTGTCAAGGGTATCGAATTGCAGTCAGAGTTCTCTTTCTAACACTACGTTAGCCGGGTTCAAGCCTGTAGTAACGTGAATGGATGCCCTGTAAGCATGGAGAAAGCTGGGTAATCCTGCATCACAATCCGTTTGGTGCAATGATATTTCATAGATGTTCTTCGACCACACTGATGCATAGTTCCACTGTGCTGTCCAACTGCTGGTGCAGGAATGTGCTGTGCCTCTAGCTCTGTCCCAGGCATTGCAAAACCTCCTTTAACAGGCGGGATTTGAAGATACGGCCCTGGTCACTATGTAGTTCCCGTGGCACCCCAAAGTGACAGACTAAGTTAGTAACCAGCTCTTCTGTCACTGGCGAAGCCTCTTGGTTGGGAAAGACATGGGCTACCAGCCACTGGGTAAAATAGTCCATAGCGATCTTGAGGTATTGTTTCCTTCGTCGCTCCGTGGGAAGGGTTATGTTACATTGACAGCTATCCTTTCGAACAGGGGCCCTGACGTTGTACTTATGCACTTGGCCCCAATTCATGGTCCAGGGGCAGCGACAGACTGCACAGGCGTTGTACTTATGCACTTGGCCCCGATTCATGGTCCGGGGGCCGCAACAGACTGCACAGGTGTTGCACTGCTGCCATCACCTCTTAACATCGTTTCTTATTTGAAACCAATAGTATCTTTGCTGGAGCTTACACAGGGTCTTGTTGGCACCCTAGTGACCTCCTTACGATTCATCAGAGTTCAGTCAGCTGTCGTTCACTTTGTACGAGAAAGAATTATCTGGCTACTTTCATCGTATGTTGGCGGATTCCTAGTAGTGGTCCAGTATGCCGTTCCTCACAGCGAGGGATTTCCATTGGACCCAGTATCTCTTGTATGTGAAGCTGCTTTTAATGATGTCTTCCCATTCTGTGCCCGGTATGTGAAGTCTGGCCATTCTAGGCACTGCTCGGTCTGTACTTCCTCCAGAATGGGCCCTATGTCCAGGTTGTTCAGTTTTCAATTCTCAGAACGGCTGGATCTCAGCCGGCTGCAGCTATGGCCGCAGTAGCTCCCACCTCTTTGACGTCTGCTCGTGCCTCCATTTTGTGGCAGTGGATACACCCTTCTCGGCATGGTCGTTGCTAAAGGGCATTGGCATTGTTGTGTTTCAAGCCTTGACGTTGCCCGGAAATAAATCTGTACTCTGGGAGAACTGAATCCAGCGGGCGGTTTGTTCTTCTAGGTTCTTAAAACTCATGAATAAGGTTAATTAATGGTGGTCGGTGCATAGGTGGAACTCTTGTAGAGTAGAGAAAATTGTGAAAATGATCCAGCATAAAAGTAAAAAAAAAAGTAAAGCTGTCCCTGTACCAGGCCGCGAAGGCCCGTAGGGTTGTGAGACGTTGAGGGTCCCACATTATCTAGACAATCGGCTCATAGATGGCGGTTAGGTTGTCAGCCTTACGCACCCGCCACACTTTACTTCCCAGGAAAATTATTTGATTTATTCCTGGTACTCATTTCTGTTAGAGGCTGAGTAAACCCCAGGGCCTAGTGCAGCTTTCTCACAATTACCAGTAGTTCCTGCCATGTAACACAGTAATTTCTCTCGGCCTTATTCAATGTCTTACTGTAGTAGGCTCCTGTCCGTCCTGTACTTGAGACAGCACTCCTCCAATCACAAATTTACTCCCATTTCTGTCAACTAAGAACCTCTCTCTTGGCTATGGGTAAGCAAGAATAAGGGCAGTACAGAGGCCCTCCTTTGGTATTTGAAAGGCATCCCCTATTTCTGGAAGGCTTGCTTCTACTCCGTGAGTAGTTCGCAATGTTGGCGTAACTGGAAATAAACTGTCTGTAATATGTGCATAGGCCCAGAAAGTTTTTAATTTCGTTTTTGTTCTTCAGGGTCGGCCATTCTCGTACTGCTCTCTGCTTCTCGGGGTCTGTGGTTATCCCCTCGGGTGATGCAATATGCCTGAGGTACTGGACTTCCTTCTGAATAAGTTGGCACATCTCCGGACTGAGTTTAAAGCGGGCTTCTCAGAACAGCTTGAACACTTTCCGCAGGTTGAGTAGGCGCTCTTGGAATGTGCAGCCAATCCCGATTACGTTGTCCAGGCAAGATAGTGACTCGTGAGGTCTCTTAAGACTGCCTCCGTTAACCTCTTAAACGTCGGCGGATGGTTGCAGAGGGGAAATGCAGTCACTATGAACTGCCATAGCCCTTGCCCCGTAAAGAATGCACTCTCCTCCTTGTCTCATGGATGCAGATCTATTTGACAATAACCACTTTCAGATCGAGAGAGGAGAACCATTTGGCTCCAGCCAACGTGTCCAGTGTGTCAATTCGAGGAAGTGGGGAACATTCTTTCCTTCTTATATCACCCAGTTTTTTGTAGTCCGCCCTGAAGTGCAGGTCCCTGTTCTTCTTCAGAACGAGGACGGGGGATAACCAGGGGCTGTCTGTCTCTTCAAACATCCTATGTCGTATGTCCTCAAACATCTCACTTAATTCCACTTATTTTGTTAGGGAAGCTTCCTCGGAGGTTGGAAATTCGGTCAGGCATCTCCCATATTTATATGGTGGTACACGGTGTCGATCCATCCATAGTCGTTGTTCTTCATAGCAAGATGTCTCCGTATTAGGTAAGATGCTGTTCCAAATCTCAGGGATTCATTGACACCCATGTTTGGCCTGGCGGCTGAAATCACATCTTGAAAATTGGGGGAAATTCTGGTCACAACAGGTAGCATTAAGGATCCTAACGTGTACTTCCCGATGGTCTCGAATCAGGTTTCTGGCTATGTAGAGTCCTTCGGGTGCACGGATTGGCTTCTATCAAGCCATATTCCACTCCGAAGGAACCCTCCAATCGAGCCATCTTCAATCTCTTGCATTGTGCTGGCATCACCTGATCCTTGACCACCAACAGACTGGAGGGCCGGGCTGCATAACAATAATTCTTTCTCTTCGAGACGCAGCAATTGGCGCCCTAGGTCCACAGATTCATTGTATGCGCGCAGAATATTCAGGCGCAAGATGATCGTCGCGACGAATACCCGAATTTTCAGTGTGCGCTGCCCCAGGATGAGTGGCAGGACAACTTCCTTCAAGTTGGGGAGGGCTTCTCCAAATATTGTCTGCAACACGTAGCGTTGGTTTGGCTCTTTTTTGTGCAATCCGGCGGTGATGTCAAGCCTGGCTAGTCATGTACGTCCTGTTGTCAAGGGGCACATGGCATGTTTTGTCACCGACCATGCCCTGAGAGTAGGCTAGGTTCAGACCTTCCTGTGATGACAGCCCGAGGGTGATGGGTTACTTTAATGTGTACACTGGCGTCCCTCGTTTTCAGCCGACACCTGCTTTTCTCGACGGTTTGCCATCCCTCATGTCAGCCTATGTTGCTTCTCAGTCGCCATTCACGAGTTACTGCTGGCTTCCGTGTATCTCAGAGGTATTTCATCTTGTCTCCTGTTCCAGTCATCGTTTTCTACCTCCCTCCTGCAGGGGCGGTTACCACGGAATTGGTCTGGAGCCCCACACACCGATCGTCTTTGGTCTCCTCGCCCAGTTGGGGGCGATTGGCTCCACCAGCTAGTCCTGCAGCTCGTTTTTTTTTGTGGCATGGTTGCTGGGAACATGGTCTCCAGCTCGAGGGCCTGCCTGAGAGACTTGTTCATCGCTTTCTCGCCTCCCAGCAGCAAGTGGATTTTTATGGTGGGATTTTCTATTCCATCGGCGAACGTCTTGCTTGCATCCCTTCTTCCTTATATGGCCCTCGGGTAGTGAAGGTAGGCGTGGTGGGTTAGGTGTCTGACAGCTGTGGCAAATTCTTGCAAGGCGTCTCCGACACAATGGATCCTCGTTTTTTATCTGACTTCGTTACACTGCGGCCAGGTGCTGGTCCCGGATACTGTCCTCCAGGGCCTCGAGGATTTCTTAGTAGGTCTCTCTTTTTGAGACTCCGTGTAGCACATCGATGGCTCGGCCCTGCAAGGCTGTAATTGATTATGTGGATTGGAGTGCCCAGCAGTTGTGCCCTGCTTGAAGTGGCACTGAATCATGGCTCATTATGTAGTCCTGTTGAACTTATACGGCTTTGCTGCGCTGTCCTGTTCTTCTTCCGTGCTTGGCAAGGACCTCGACTTCTGCTATTTTGGCATCAAGTCCTCTACGCGCGGTATCAATTAGGTTTGTCATCCGTGCCTTGCCCTGGATCATGAAGCTGGGTTCTTAGTGAAGGTATTATGATTTCCAAGAGGCTCCTTGTCAGCATATCGACAGACGTCCTTATGGCCTGTAAGTGAACCTATGTTTCGTCAATTTTTCTGTCATTTCCTTGTAGAAGACCTGCGTCTTTTGGTTGACACATGACAAGACGTCTTCCACCCGATACTTGATGGTCTCCTCCAACTAGAATTGAATGGAGTGCATTGCTTGTAGAGCAGTCTCCATAATGCACAGCAATAAATAGTAGGTGTGATATTATACAGCCTACACTTTCTCCATTATGATCTCAACCCAATAAGAAGTAATTTTTTTATTTCACAAAACTGGGATCCCAGTTTGTCAATGCTTGTAATATTACTCAAATAATCTTCACTCTTTACCATATATTATAAATCTTTCCATTTTTAATACAGTTCTGTCTAATGTTACTTCATGAAAAAATTAAGGGTCATATGATCATACTTTAAATTAATCAATTACAACTAAAAATTAAGGACACATCACATAGACATATAACAGAATAAGAGTGCAATGACTGGCAAAAAACAGAAGGGAAGGGGGGGGGGGGAGAAATTTCAGGATATCTCCACGTACATAGTGTATCCAGGTTCTGTTAGACTGTGTTCATTAAAAATATAAGACTCGAATTATTTTCAAAATTTCACACTTTTTATTCAAAATAGTCTCCTTCTGAGTCAATACATAGCTGTAATCGATTGAAAAGTTTTCGAAAACAGTCACTCTACTCCTTTTGTGGAATCGCATTTAAAATTGCGGTAGTTTCCCTTTGGATGTCCTGGATGGTGTCATGATGGTCTCCTTTCATCGCTAACTAACTTTTGGGAACAACCAGAAACCTGCTGGAGCCCAGTCTGGTGAATACGGAGGATAATCAAGGACTGTGATGCCTTTTCTGGCCAAAATATTGGACACGACCTTCGATTTGTGGAGTGGGCATTGTCATGGAGGAGCGACCAGGAACCTTGCTGTCGAAATTCAGGTCGAATTCAAAGAATTCTTGCCCACAAACGATTGAGGACTCCGAGATAATAATCAGAATTCACTGTTTGACCTTCTGGCAGAAATTCTTTGTGAATGATTCATTTGGAATTGAAGAAAATGGTTAGCAGTGTCTTTACTTGACTCTTTGGCATGCACACTTTCTTTGGTTTTGGCTTCTTTAGGCTCAACAACGCTGCACTCTCCCACTTTGTGAGAGGCTCATATTGAAAACACCATGTCTCGTCAGCAGTAACAATCGATTTTGTAAATTTTGTATCAGTTTGGGCCGACCGTAACATTTCTTTGCAGTGTTCCATTCTGGCATGTTTTTCATTGCCTGACAGTGCGTGGGATACAAACAGTGCACAGATCTTCCATTTGCCAAAATCTTCGGTCAAGATTTGATGCACAGTACTTTTTTGTATTCCCAAAAGCTCCTCGATGAGTCTTGCAGAAATACATCTGTTTGATGCAAGGATTTCAGTCACTTTTTTCACATTTTCTTCAGTGCGACTTGTTCTCGGCTTTAATGCAAGTGGAGCGCTTTCAGTGTCCTTCCTGCAGTCACAAAATACACAATACCATCGAAAAATGTTCGAGCGACTCAAAAAGTCACTACCGTACACACTATTCATCATTTTGTACGCTTCTCTGGCTGTTTTGCCTAACTTGAAACAAAATTTGATGTTGGCTCTATGTTCAACCGTCATTTTCCGACAAGATCAGAATACATGATGCAGCAATGCTTGCGCTTTGAAATTTTAGACAGCCATAGTTGAATCTTCAAGAATCTTAATGTCAAAACTCTCCAACAGATGGCACTGTGGGGCAAAAAAAAAAAGTTTTAACGAATCCTGGACACAGCGTGTTTTTAATGATTATAGTACATCATCCACACAGATGCCCAAACCTTTTGAACACATTATTTTCTTATCATTCTAACACCCACTACCAATCTTAAAATAATAGCAAACCACAATATATCAGAGCAATTCATTGTGTCATGGTTTTTAAAATGTATCTGCAGACTGGGCTCATATAGGTAATTACTCCGCAAAGGGTATAGAAAAACAATGATAGTTTTAAAATATTCACAACAGTATGAAATTATAGTAGGGCCAAAATACAGAAAGAATATTTCTAAACAGTCTCAGCTGAAACAATCTCAAGATGAAAGGGCTAAAATGACTTTAACACTTAATTACCTTGTGCATCTTAAAGTCTTATCTTGCACTGATTTTCCCCATGTGATGAAATCCAGTGTATACGTAATCCAGTATGATAGAAGCATTGGTATTTAAGTGTGATACATATGTTCAAGATTTAATTATATTTTTAAGGTGTAATCTCTTGGGCTTCAATAATTCCGCTGGATGTTATCAAGTCACGTATCCAAGCTGATGATTTATCAAATCCTCGATATAAAGGCATTGTGGATTGTACTGTCAAGAGTTATAAGAAAGATGGTCTGCACGTATTTCGTCGTGGATTTATTACGTGCTCATTTCGATCATTCCCAGTAAATGCTGCAACTTTCCTTGGCTATGAACGGTCTTTAAAATTTTGCCAACATGTGTCAAAGGACTTCTTCACTCATCCAGAACAGAAGGACACATGACTGTAAGCAATCAGATGACTTAAAAAACAATATTAAACATTACTATTCCTACCTCACATAATTAAAAAAATGTAAAAATGAATTGGCATTTGATTATGTAAAATTAGAAAACCGAAAACTTCCTACTCATTCAGGTGTCCTGTCTTCTGAAGCACTTAGAGAATGAAAAATTCTAGGATGGAAGGGAGATCCTGGGCACTCAATTTCATGATTTGTATTCTCCCCTCTCCCTATAATATGCTTATTTTCTTAAAATAAAATAACAAAAATAACTTTAATATTCATATAAATTAAATACTAATATTATTTACCAGTATCTAAAATCTTCACATAATAATCTTTAAATGATTAACCCAGCAGAGCTTGTGCTGGGTCTGGGTCTGCTCAGTATATTAGAGATTTTCATATGTTCAGTGTCTGCTCTTCTAGCAAAACTGTCCTTTTGTTAGATGAGCTTCAGCTGTTAATCTTGTCTGTAGGGACATTGACATATTGGAAACAAAACTATTTCTCTTGATCATATTTTATAATTTGTACTTCTTAATTGTTAAAATATTAATTATACTCAGTATTAATTTATGTGTTTGTATAACCTTCTTCTCACAGCATCATTGTTCAACCATCTCAATGGTTCTTGTCTTAATGATGTATATGTCATGGTCATTGCTTTGCTCATGCTTCCTTTATAATTGGCCTTTCGGCTGTTGAGTAAGCATGTAAATAAATAAATAATTGAATGGGATATTATTATTATCATCATCTCTTGTCACAGGTTTATTTCCTGGTATTCCTTTTCTTGAACCAGTGATGCACCTCACCACTCAGGCTTCAAGCTTCGCACTGTAGCACTTTCTGTAGTATGTGTGATGTTCCCAGGATAGCTGTTTTTTGCAGTGAATCTATGGAGTGCTTACCAGGAATTAGTTCCAAATATTTTCTCAACCCTCTTGTGACTACCCGTGGCTCCAATAATTACTGGTATCACAAAACATTTCATGTTCCACATTCGCTGAATTTTGATGTGTAAATTTTTATATTTTAATTTCTTCTCTGCTTCTTTTTGTACTACATTCCTATCCGATGGTACTGATACATCTATAAGTATGCAAGTTTTCTTTGCTTGTTTTTAATTATTATGTCTGGCCTGTTTGCCAGAACCTCTCTGTCTGTTTGTATGCCTTGGTTCCATAAACGGTTATATCCTCATGTTCACATACTGACTTAGGCACGTGTGAGTACCAGTTGTCTGGTACTTCAATTCCAAATTCTTTACATATTGAGTAATGTAAATGCATGCAAACTGTATCATGCCTTACTATATATTCGTTCTTCGCCAAAACGGGACGGGACATCCTGATGTTAAATGGTCTATAGTTTCTTCGTATTCTTTACACAGTCGACATTTATTTCCGATCTCTTCTTTCAATATTTTTCTCTTAAAATAGTTTGTACTGATTACTTGGTCCTGAGCTGCTATGATTAAGCTTTCTGTTTCCCCTTTAATGCCTCCAAATTTCAACCACTGATAGGTCTGTTCCTTATCCACCAGAGTGTCATCTAAGCTGCGTGGGTATTGTCCGTGCATTCTTTTCTTTTGTGTTCTGAGCTATTGCCTTTTTTTGTAAAAAAAATTGTGTGCTTGCAGGCTGTGTTAGGCGAAGAACTTGTGTTGCGTTGGTGTGTCCTAACAATTTTCATCAGTTGATCTTCTGTTCCTTCTATATATTCCGCTAGGTTTGTGGTTTCTGCCACGTAAGCCGCCTCTATCCGTATCAGGCCTCGTCCTCCCTCTTTTCTAGGAACATACAGATGGTCTATATCTGCTCTTGGGTGATGCTGTCTGTAGGTAGTTAACATTTTTCTTGTTTTCCTGTCCAATTTTTGTATTCCTCTTTGTGCCAGTTAATAATTCCAAAACTGTATCTCAGTACTGGTACTGCCAATGATCCAATTGCTTGCATTTTGTGTTTTGCATTCAGCTCTGTGTTCAAAATCAATCTTAATCTTCTTACATACTCCTTCTTCAACCTTTCTTTCTCTTTCTTGTGTTCTATCTGGTGGTTCTCTTCTATTCCCAAGTACTTATATGCTCCATTTGTTTTTAGTTCTTTAATTTAATTCTCCCATGTTTTCTACATGCTCTTTTCTTTGAACCTTACCTTTTTTTATCGAAATTCTGGCACATTTTTCTAATCCAAACTCCATTTTTATATCACTACTGAATGTTTTTACAATTTTAATCTCGTCCCTCAATTCTTCCTCACTTTTTCCTAACAGTTTCAAGTCATCCATATACAACAAGTGACCTATTTTCCTTTCAGATCCATGCACCTGGTACCCACATCCAGAGCTGTTTAATTCATGAGTTAGCGGAATAAGTGCTATGCAAAAAATTAGTGGTGATAATGAATAACCCTGAAATATTCCTCTGTTTATTTTAATGGGTTGTGATTGCATGAGTTCCTGGTTTGTTCTCAGCTGAAGCTTTGTGTTCCATTTTTCCATGGAGTGCTTGCAAAATTTCACTATGCTATCATTCACTCCTACTAGTTCCATTGACTTTTCTATCCAGCTGTGGGGCACTCTATCAAATGCCTTTTGATAGTCAATCCAAGCCATGTTTAGGTTCTTTTTCCTCCTCCTGTAGTCCTCAAGTATTGCTTTTGATATCAGCAGCTGGTCCTTGCATCCTTTACTTCCTGGGTGACATCCTTTTTGTTCTTCTGGCAATAGGTTCTGCTCCTCCAAATATAACGAAATTATTATTATTATTAATTTGCAGTCATCAATCTCTTCAGTCATTCCTGTTATTATATCTTGCTCTATTTTTTCCCAATAGATTGCTCCTGTTTTTCTTTAATTCCTTTCCTTTCATTCACATAAATTACACTGCATTTTGCACTACTTGTGTCCTTTGATAGCATTTACATGATAGCAGTTCGTTACTTATTCAACCTTCTGTAATATGTACAAAGATTCATTAAAACTGTTGAAAAAAAAACACTTTCAACTTCAAGCACTATTAATTCTTCAACGTAAGATAGCATAATTACCTTGTACTTGGAGTGCCTGAAAACTAATACGGAATGGAAATATGCCTTACATTCCTACATTATTGTGTTGTATCTTTACCGTATTTAGTTATGGTGTCAATTTTTAGCCTCATTTCTTTATTTGAAACAAATACAAAATAGGCTCATGAGATCACCTTACTGTCTATGTGTCTAAATATGTATCCTGCATAGCAACTTCTGAATGCCTCAACCAATCTTTATGTACTGTAGCTTACCATGTAATTCATGGAACCTGACCCCATCTCAAAGGCATAATTCATAAATCGCTCCCATTAGTAGTGCCAACATTACAGTCCCTCAAATTGTTGGGACAGAGACTTAATATTGCTTGAATGCCTGCATTGATCTTCTTAAAACTTGGTATGTACATTGTGCCGCTTGATGCCATCTCAAATGCTACTTCATAAATCCCTCCTCTCCATCATATGAACATTGCAGCCTCTCAAATTGTCAAGGTAATACCCTTCATATTACTTGGCATGCCTGAACCTGTCTTCATGAAACTTATTAGTTATATAATGCCACCAAGAAGCCATCTCAACAGCACATTTAATAAATCCCTCCCATCTGTAATACCAGCATTACAGCCTCTCAAATTGGTGATGTGAAGCCTGCTTTAATGCCTGCAGCAATCTTCATGACGCTTGGTATATATATCATGCCACATGAAGCTATCTCAAGGCATACTTCATAAATTTCCCATTAATAATACCAATATTGCCGTCTCATGCTGATACTGGTAACAACCTTAATATTATCTGAGTGTCAGAACCAGTCATCATAAAACCTGTTATGTGTCATGCCACCTGAGGCCATCTCAGTGACATACTTAATAAATTCCTCTCATCAGTAATACCAACACAGCCTCTCAAACTGTCGTATCAAAACTCAATTTTTAGTGAAAGGAAAGAAGGCAATTAGTTCTTCCCAGAACTACTTGCTAAGTAACTGGATTTCTAGATTTTGTATATTCATTATTTTGCCTTTCATTGTATGTGAGGCAATAATTTTGCTGTTTGTAAGCTCCTGTGAAACATTGTGTGTTTGGATAAATATCACTGATGTCATAAAAATGTTCAAAATATTTCAAACTCTATTCAGGTGAAATATTTTAAGATGTCACATGTCTTAATAACATCAATACAATCTCTCAGGGTGTCTCAGACCCAGTAAGATTGTGTATGGAAATCAGGCCCAAGCTCTGCTGGTTAATATCTAGAAAGATAGAAAGGCAAAACATGAAGCACATGTAACAAGAAATGCATACAAAGTGATGGTAGGAAAATCAGAATTGAAGATAACATGAGAAACCTACTATCCTGAAGCAAAGAGAAGGCAAGAATATAACTCACATGCACTTTATTTCTTGGTTTAGTCACTTACAAAATAATGTATGCCATTACCATCACCAAAGCTGTAAGGCAATTACAGGGGCATGTAAAATAAATATCTAAGATGATGACAAATATCTGCAGCTAACATGATACAGTAATACAATTTAATGATGATATTTGAAAATTTGTAGTGCAATATTTACAGCACACAGGACCTCATGGTCTTGAAGTAAACTGCTAGTTTAGATGCTAGAAATTTTGGATTGCTTCACCTCTGCCATTTGGAAAAATGTAGAAAGGTCAAATGACCATGACTGTAGACGCTAGAATTTATGTACAAATGAGAAACAGCTTTGCAGT